AGTCTTAAGGGGCATGCGTTCCTTAGAGGAGTCACCACATGCTTGGTCGGGACAACTTGGGGCCAGCTGCAGGTTTGGACCACTTCGTCCGATGGGTCTAGTCAGTGTCCAGTCTTGGTCGATCTCGTTGGTTGTCGGCAGAGGCTATGGCCCTTCATTGCCCGTCTCCTCCAAGCATCATTGTCAGATCGAGGCCTCTGAATCCAGAAAGAGTCCACTTGTCTAGAAAAGGAGAGTACTAAGCCCCCGGGTCTGCATCAGGGCGGCTTCAAGTGGAGGCCAGCCCAGCCCTCCCCAGTCCTGCCTCACACGTCAGTTTGACTTCTTTCCACCTGCCCCCCCCTTCCCACGTCCGACCCTCGGTGCACCCGGCGCCGACAGAAATTTGACTGCTCAACTATCCAATCAAAAGAAAGATTGAGAATTTGAGCCAATCGGAGCAGAGCTTAGAGGCAGGACGCTGGCGTCGTCCCGCCCCTGGGTGGGTGAGCGCGGAATGTCTCTGGCCCTCCCCTGCACTTCAGCCTCAGTGCGGAGCCCTCGGCGCCGGGAAGAGGACCTGCTCAGGACACCCCGCGGGAGCAGCAGCACAAGGCAGCCGGAGCCTGAGCCTGAGCCTGAGCCAGAGCCCAAGCCACGTCTGTGCTCCTCTCACTCCTCTCTCATCCCCCGGCTCAGAAACCGCGTTCCCCGAGGAGAGCGACCGCCCACGCCTGGAGCATCTTCCTCGGTCGAACCGGTGCTGACAGATCGGGCGATATGATGCGGCTGCGAGGCTCAGCGATGCTTCGGGACCTGCTCCTGCGGTCGCCCGCCGTCGCTGGCGCGGCTCTGAGACGGGCACAACCTCTCGCCACCCTGTGCCGGCGCCCCCGGGGCGGGGGCCGGCCGGCGGTGGGCCCGGCGCCCGCCGCGCGGCTCTACCCCTGGTGGGGCGGGGGCGGCCGGCCGGCAGGACCCTCTGCGCGGGGCCTGTCCAGCTCTCCCTCGGAGATCCTGCAGGAGCTGGGCAAGGGGGGCACGCAGCCGCAGCCCGGGGCGTCGCCGCCCGCACCCTCGCCTGCCCCCGGCTCCAAGGACAGCCCCGCGGAGACGGACGCGCTCGGCGGCGGCGGCGAGGGCAAGGAGCCAGCGGCCGCAGGCGAAAAGTGAGTGTCCTGACGAGGGCCGGGCCGCGGCGGGACCGCAGCGGGGGTGGGCTGGGAGCAGAGGCTCGTGAAAGAGAAAGAAAGAGATGCCGGCGGCCTGCGCCGTCTGCGCCATGTGATTAGGCCCGGCCCCGCCTGCTCCTT